CACGATCAATAATACTGGTCAGTAATATTGAATCAGTAATACTGACGGTATGCATCAATATTTTTAGTATTTTTACAATTTTACACGATCAGTATTATTGACAATACATTTTACTTTAGTTTTACGTACATTATCTATTGCACTGTAATATACTGTGACATGGATCCTAATAAAGCGATATTGATGCTCGAGAAAATACAGATCTACGTCAATCCATCAATACACATGAGTAATATTGTATCAGTATTTGTTAATACTAACAGTATTATTGACCGTGTAGAATCACCTTTGGAGTGAATGTCACTCTGAAGAGTGAAATCTCACTTTTAAAGATTGAAAATTGAATCTTTTTCAAAAACTCAATTTTTACTCTTTAGAGTGAGATTCCATTTCAAAGAACTTAAAAAGTATATGTAACGATATGTTCCGTAATTTGGGACGTAACACGAGACAGAAAACAAGAACGCGTGTGTTATTATATAACGTTATAAGCTCCACTGCGCTGGTGTTATTTTCCAATCGTATCGCTATACGCAGTGCTGCTACGAACAAAAAATTAATTTAAAAACCATGCTTACCTTGAACAATCGGTCGTTGAATCGATAATAGGCGTTATCTTGGAAGAAGTACGTATAGCCCTTGTACGTTACTGCCGCGTTGATGTGATTCGGTATGCCTTCCCAATTTTGAATGAGTTTAGGATAGTTACTTCTCACTGGTGGCTTCGACGATGGATCGAAGCGCCAGAATTTCGTACCCTTGTAGAAGTAAATTTTGCCGTTTCCAGTCCATACGGTAGCCGCATTCCAGTAAAACCATCGCTAATTTCCTTCGGGTAGTCACCGTCCATGGTCGTATTAATGTACCTCCAGTATTGCGTGCCCTAAAGTAAAATAATTGCGGTGTCAATTATAGTGAATGAAATCTGCATATTGATCAACGTCGACATAAAGTCTGTTTTCTATAGATGGACTAGTGTACACTTTTAGAACTTAAAGTGGAATAGATATAATATACTTGATATTTGGCGAAAGTGGGAAAGAAAGTTCTAGTGCAGTCTAGTGCAGGGACAAAAACAGAGCTACAGTATAGAGTAAAAGGAACCAAATCAATTTTGGATTTCGCTCATTTGTTCAAGTGAATGATTACCTTGAAGAAGTAAGTTTTGCCATTCCTGTATGTAAATGCAGCGTCTATATTTGATGGAAGCTCCTTCCACGTGCTACTAATACGTCTAGGATAACCGCTAGCCACACCGTCGTCTGTTAATTTCCAGTAATGTTTTCCTGAAAGTTTCATAGTAATAGCTTCAGTATTCTTGCTTTGTCATCTTTGGCACAATCCAAATACTAATGGAAAATTACAACTCTGAAGTATACGTACCCTTGAACGCAATTATCTCGCCGTCTTTCGTATTGAACATTGCATCGATCTTTGGATCTTTACACAATTCAGGGTCTTCTTCGGCAGGCGGCGCAGGTCGCGATCCTCGTGGCGATTTAGTTTTCGTGCCATATAGAGCCTGAAATGATTTAGTATTAGCTACTCGAGGCACGCTACATCCAGGATCACGAATGTAACTGATAATAGAAAGTTTCAGTCTTTCGGACGTTACCTGAATCGCGCTAACATCGTCTTGATCTAAAGTAAAATGTGGATCGTAGCCGCGGTAAAAAGGTGCCATCAGGGCACTCTTGACATCACTGTGACTTAAGCCAAGCGAGTGCCCGAATTCATGAGCCGCGACTTGAAAGAGATTGGTACCGCGGTAGCTTCTGATGGTCCATCGTTCAGAGTCGTCGAAGTGAGCATCACCACCGTATACGGGAAAGTATGCGTGTGCCAAGGTGCCACCAGGTCCATCGAAAGGATCACCATCGCCGTGCTCGCCTACTTCGAATCTGATCTCGATGTGAACCTAAACGAATCACCCTTGTTTAGTATTTTACTAATATTATATAATAATGTTTTTATTTCTTTAATTTTTAACAATCGACCCGCGTCAATTGGTCACATAAGCATACATGTATCTCGAGTATACGAGCCTTACATTTTCGTGTCCTCCCTTGCGGGTAAATGTCAGATCAGTTTCACCCGTCCAAACAGCGAACGCGTTCGCTATTTCCTTTTCCACTTCCTGTTTGTTGAGACCAGTTGGATACTTGCTAATTTTGTACGTTAGGTTCTTCGTACGCCATCTGGACCCTACGGTAAAGCATTTTGTACGTGAGACACGTGGAGTAGCGCGAGAGAATAGTTGCTTTGTTTAAAAATATTGCGATGCATTCTCGTTTATCCGCACGCGCATGCACACACACGTTAATACTGTTCATTCGTTTTCCGCGGTTATTAACGTATGCACATCCGTTACGCACCAACCGATTCACCACCACACGAGTCTATACTGTAGGTATCCACTTGCGATTGCTTACGATACACGCGTGATGTTCCAATATATCGTTCCGATGTTGTGAATCCGCTTTAAGTATATCCTTATTAGCTGTTACGTCGTTATTGTATCGCAGTGCGTAAATTGTTTATTACTCGTAAGAATAAAAATCACGGCTTGCGTGTTACGTGCTCATTACGGTACAGAATTACGATTTATGCAACAGTTGCGCGTATACTACAATTATATCGCGCATCTCGTATGACTCTTACGCAACGATCTGTTCGTCAGATCTCTGCGGAGATCTATGAAAGAATAAAATAGAAGAATGTAACACACAGTTATATTGGATTATCACTGATAAATTTCGACTGTGTGCGACTGACATTCCGTAGGATGCACGCATGGCCGAACTTAGCACCAAGAGTTCACTGAAACATGAAACGCACGTGCTTGGGTTCAAAGTCACGGTTAGCCCGTGTGAAGCTGCGATCGCTTTATTATTCCGTCGATAGTCGTGCATAAGAATGTCTTTGTCGGGAGTCTTTTTTTATTTTCAATACGACATGATCAAAACGATTAGAACATTTATACACGAATCAACGAATCAAGTATCGAGCACTTTTTAGCGAGACGATCGTATATAAATGTAAATATAAATATACAGAGAAAGATCACCGATATTGATATATCATTCTGTTTTCAAATATTTCACAGGACAATATTTCGTAAACAAAAGTCAAAAATAAAAACACTTTAGAAACATAAATACAAAAATATAAACACTAGAAAGTGTCTTCTGTAAGATAATATAGCAGTTTTTACAATACCGTTTGCAATTTTGCAATAATTAATTTTTTCGTAAGATAAGCAGAAATGAACGCCTGGCACAATAGTGAATAAACCCTAAAACTGACACACAGTAAGCAGTAATGCCACGTATTCCTATTTTTTTGTTTTCACAGAAGTGTATAAAAAATAGCTACAAGTGAATGTATATACATACATATAAGATTTTCTAGAATCTTTTCACTTATATAAAACGGTTTTTATTAATTTATATGCATACTTTGTGCTATTTTGCAAGACGCAAACATGTAACGCTAGAGTTTTTTTTTTTAAATTTTCCCATAAATACGCGATTGTCTTCAGCTCCGATAAGATTATTTGACACTATAACGCAATACTATAAAGATTAAGTTAACTTATGGTTTGTCTCAGACAGGTGTACCAGTTTACACTGCACTTTGATTTTGTATTTAAAACCGTATTATGAAAAAAATAGAAAGAAAAAAATATAAATAAAACTGATTTAAGAAAATAAACATGTAAAATGATGTAATATTATCAATAATATAATCACTATTATTTATGCTACGTAATTTGCAAAAAAAATTGTAAGAATTTTATTTTCATATTTGTAGAATTAATTTTCAGATGATTTTATATAGAAACAAGCTATAAATAAAAGAGTTTTTACTTCTTTAGGGTTTTTATCAAACATCATTTCAATAGGTCATGTTTTTGTTAGTATTAATAAAGTGCAACAATTAATTTCTGAGAAATAAGAGAATGTTTCTTTAGAAAATCTATGTCAGTATCCTATATATATTATAAATATATATACGGGATGAGATCCGAAATTCCCGCATTCGGAGTACAGGACATGATACTTTATGCTAAAACAAACAACTTTTTCCTGTAGTAAAATTACATTCGATAAATAATTTTTGCATTTACTCATATAACTTCAACCTGTTCTCCTGCAAAAATTACTTGTCAGACGCAATTTTGCAAAAAGAAAAAATTATTTTTTTTAACATAAAGTATCATGTTTTGTACTTCGAATGCAGGAATTTCAGATCACCCTGTATATATCTGACAATAAAAGAAATATACTAATCTCGCATTATACATATATATATGTTTAAATACAAAGTTTTCAAAATTTGACAAGATGTTCTTCTTATCAAAAGAGAATCTAGTCGATTCACTAATCAAACGTCGCTTTATCGTTAAATTGCAAAGATGGATGCGAAATGCAACAGTTGATTCGAGCGAATTCATGTAGCTGATTTAAAATGCATTTAGTACATCCGATAGACTGTTATCGCGATATAGATCCACGTGACCCGTTTAAGGTGAGTGACTCTATATCAAGCTGACTGTACCACGAAGTAGTAACGAGAGAACGGGAAGTTGAAATGGCGTGATTCATCGTAAAAGGTGCTGCAATGTACTAAATAATCTATATTTACCTATTACTATGAGTGCGTTCCACTTGACGCTCACAACGTTCATGGAATCATTTCATCCTTGTTGTTTATCAAACGTTAAATAAGTAATACTTGCGAGCGTTGCGAGCGTCAAATGAAACACACCCCATATGTGTTCCTTTGTTATTTTATGATGACTATTATTAGTACATTTTCGCGTGGATCGCTGATGTGATCTATGTGTTAACGTAGCCAACTTTCCATTTTACGACATTATATTTTATGGACTTTTCTCGAGTTTCGAGATAGGGAATGTCCGCGTCGCGATTAGATAATCGATCACGATCGATAAAAAAAAAGTTGTGTCACGTCTCGCGGTTACGTTTATACTCTCGATTGCATTAAATTTTCTTCAATTTGTCAATTATCGATTAGTCGCGCAGAGTGATGAAATCTATCGATTTTCGATTAAATTTTATACATCGACTATTTTACTTACCTTGAAGAGCGTATCTCTTCGATCTTCCATCGGCAGCTGGTCCAACTCTATCTTTAACACCGCATCTTGGTGTAGCCATAAGCTTAGTAGTCTCTTCATTTAATTCACCTGTATATAACAAAAAATATCGAGATAAATTTATGAATTATTCTTTCGAGATAAATCGAGATAAATTTATGAAATTTATGAATTTATATTTATTCTTGTAAAATTATTTATTGTAAAACCGAGGATACGCAAATGGTCTTCACAAAAATCGATACCCTGCCATTTTATTGCCTCTTATCTTTTAAGTATAATCGCGTGATAAAAATAATTACGTATTCCGATTTTCGTGTATATTGATTGTTAGAGCATAGTTTAACAGTGTCGGTGCGAAGCGGAGGGTGTATTCTCGTGTTAGGTACATCTGTGCCCTTTTACGTGCACGCGTATACGCGTGTATACTTCTCGCACTCTGTGCATGTATTAATTTCTCATGCATGCATAATGTACATAGTATGCGGGAGTACTCGTACATACGCTACCACTACTTTCCAGCGCGGTCACGCGATTCGACATTTACAGATTCATCGTTGCGGCGCGCAAAGGTTGCCGGAGCACACCGGCAACGATGCAATAAAAATTTTATTTTTCCAGTCTTGCGAGAATTTCATGATATATTCTGTATCGCAAAAAAATAATTCTGAAAATTTTAATTTTATCACTTTTCATATGATAATTTCTATAAATTTAAACACTTTTTATCAAATTTAATATTGTTTATTAAATTTTCTCTCTTTTCTTTATCATGAAAAAGATTTTGTTGCAATGAACACGACCGAACGAGTTACAATGCTAGACGAAAAATAATAAAAATGTTTAAGTGAAAGTCATATGATTTCTGTATACATTTTCATTTCTTTTTGAGAGATCTTTACGTTCATCAGCAGTTGTAAATGCGTTAACGACGTGGATTATGGCCGATAAACACGCTTCATCTCGAATAATGCCGCCACCGATGGCCTACAATTTTACAGTTAGATCACTTCCGTTCACCTTCGGATTTTATTGGATTCTATTACTTCACTGGACTCTACTGTTTCGCCCTGTTCATGGACTCTCGTATATAGTACTATAATGACCGACGAAACTTGCTTGTTTATCTTTTCAATTACTTCTTCGAGTAACTTTTTTATATGGTTCCTATATTTATTTATTTGCGTCAACTTGACGCTATCAGAAAGTGTTCGTGTAATTATTAATCATGGTTGCAAGACAATTTTTTACAATTTTAAAACTTGTTGCGTATTTTCTAGATCTCGATATTTTTCATGACAAGTATTATTTTCCAAAATTATTGCTTGCAAGACAGGATCATTACACTAATATGACACTGCAGTAATATGACTCATTGATTGAAGCGTCAGGTTGAGTTCGGTTGCGTTTCATCGAATCCTGAATCATCACTGTTCATCATCATTAATGATTTAAATCGACAGGGAAGGCACCGACGGGAGACCGCTGTTATCGTTCCTCAAGCAGTTTGACATTTTACGTGTTATTCTTTATGTACGTAAAAAATGGAGAGACACATAAAATTTTATGTTTTGCTTTTTCCTTTTTTTAAATCATACGCGTGCAGCATTACGCGCTAAACGGATTCTCCGTAATTTTCCACATGAATCACCATTATTTGTTAGAATTTGATGATATTAGATAAAAACTCAAGTACGTCTAAATATACCCAATAAACGAGAATGGATTAAAATGGATTGAAATTTTAAGCCATTTGAATTATCCGAATACGTATTTTAGTAGCATTCATGGTTCATTTTCACTTTTTTTTTAGATTCAATTGGATTAAAAAACTGTCTACTTTTTTTCCTATTCAGAATTTTGAATTGAGCAATATTTACGATGTACTTAAAAAATTGAAATTTCTTTTAGATTGAAAGGCAAGAAAATGTGCTTCATGCAATTTCTATAAATGAATAAAAATGCATTGAGATTGAAAAGGATTCAGTTTAACGTTCGTGAATGTGTATTTCTGAAAATCTGAATCCATTTCAATCCATTCTTGTTTACTAAGTATATCTGCCTAGTACATATGATGTGATATACACGCGTAGATATACATATATGCAATGTATTTAAAAATAAATTTGGAGAAGTAAATAAAATTTAACATACCTGTTATATTAAGACCAGCAAATGCTTGAAATTCTTCTATCGCTGCTATCAATTTATCCTCGCTTAAAAAAGCACCATTTTCCGGATTTGTCGGCGGCAAATATCCGTATTGCGCTAGATAATTCTGTAATTTTTAAACACGCTCTTTAACGCATTTCTCTTGAGTTTGTTAATGCAATACATCTTATACGTAGATATTATTCAACTTTTCTCAATACTCCGGCGAACAAAGTATATCGTTATTTTCTTATTGACTCGAAATGAAAATAGATTACTGTGCCGTGAAACAAAATTGCAGGCAGAAAGTTTCGTGTCATTTCAAAAAGAATCAGCTTTTATTATAAGTTTGGTATCATAATATAACATTGACGTTATTTTACTTTGTTCTACGAAAGTGAATAACTAAAGATAGGAGACTTTTTCTTATATCCGCGTGTAAATTCACCGCCCTCGGGTGATTTTCTGTCGATCCTGTTTCGATCGTTTGCGTTCAATTATAATTATGCACAGGTGAAAAAAGTCTCTGCACTGTCACACAATTTTGTGTCCAAGTCTTCGATTTTTACCAATACACTCATCGCTTATCGTTTGACAACGTGCGAATGCAATTGTATGTGACATATTTTTATTTTATCATTTAAAATATACTGATCTATAAAATATCCGATATTACACAAGACGTGCTCTTCTCGCACGAGAAGAAGCGCGTGTCGCAAGAATGATACGACCCGAAGATCATCATTAGAGCCAATTCGGATGACGTTATGTTCGAAGTGCAGATTACCTCTTTAAGAATGACTCATCCCTTATATCGGGCACGGAAAGCGCTGTCTGTTCCTCTCGCGCGTTCTAGATTCACATAAAATGGCGATCTTGACAAGCAATCGTTCCTAATGTAGTAGGATAATACGAGTACCGTTGCGTGGAGGGTTGGCCAATCAATTTGCCTTCGCGTGCATTCTTTCGGAGTTACCTCCGAACCGTATTGATTTTGTTCTTACCCTCGGGTCACTGCACGAAAGTACGCGTATTCTTAATTCCTACGTGCATTTATAACAAAAATTCGAGATGTTTAACATAAAAAAATACATGAGGATATATAGAGGAGAAGGTGGTATTATGGCCAGTGTACATATTGTGGCCTCCCTTAATATCTCCGCTATTATATAGCGAATCCTAATGATTACTTATAGAATTTATTAATTTAGTAGCTCGCCGTTACACCATGACGCTAATATTACCAATACTCAATAACTAGCACTTATTACAACGCATTTTTACTTTCAAATATTTCAAAACGTTTCTGAGGTTACATTTTAGCATTTAATTACACCTACTTCCCCTCATTTTTCTTAAACTTGAGCGTATTATCACATGAATATATGTATTTTTGAGTGTGTTATTTGCTATTTAACATTTTATTTGACTGTATATATTTTAAAATGTTTTACCACTCATTTTTTACTTTTTTGTTAATTTTGTAACCAAATACTGTTTTCTAAACAAAATTAATATTTTAAAGCTATTTTTATGAAAGGCCACATTACCACTCATTTTTTTCTTCGAGTCATTATCAATGTCGCCACATTTTTATTAATAGTATCCTAAGTAATAAATATTTCGTAACTTCGAGTCCAGAATCGATTCAACAACATTTTAACGAATGTAATTGTTAAATCAAATTTTAAACTTAAATATTGATTATTAACAAAGTTATTGTGTAAAATGTAACTGGGGTGCCATAATACCACCGTCTCCTCTATTCGTTAATTTGAGTAACGTCAAATTTTAATAAAACGAGACGAGATTGTTAAAACAAGAATAATAAAAGGCACCAGAGAATGTCAAAAGTACAAATGCCAATCCTTGTAATTTCAAATATATTTTTATTTTTGTTAGTTATTGAACAATAAATAAAAATTTTAAATTAAAAAAGGCTCCAAAGATTGAATCAGCAAAGGAAATTGGCGTTATCATTTCCTTTGTTGATTAATTATTGAAGATAATCTAAAAGCGAGGGATCGAAAAAACGTCTAATTAATTTGTTATTTAATAAAGAATTTGAATTCGCAGACCAACACCTAGTGTTACTTCTGATCGAATTTGTACTTTTGAGATTGTGTTAAAACTTCAAAACTGTAGTATTTATATAAGGGAACATTTATATGTCGAGAACACTCGAGCAAAGAATCTGACAATCGTCGCAAATTACTATTGCGCAAAGGAGTCCGACGTAAGTCACGCGAGAATTACCAAAGTATCTCATGTTTCTAGATTTAGGCGGATTAGACAAGCAGCAATGACCGAGGAGACTGACCTAACTACTGACGACTACGGAATTTACTGTTATTTAACAACACTTACGCACACTTATATTCTGATTAATATTCTATCGGTTAAATTGCACGATTAACGTCAGGATATCACGTATTGCTGAACCATGCGAAGGAAGACGGGAGATTTACATGTTTATCTTTGTATACTCTGTGTCATTCGCGTCATGCATTATTGAGGATAAACTTTTATCTCCGAATTACGCGCGGAGAATCTTTAAGGGGATGCTGGAGTGACCAAATTATCACATTACAGTCGTATAAAAATCTTCGAATTGACTGAACGGAATAAAAAATCCTTTTACAGGATTAAAGGATTTTATACTAAAATCGAAAGAATGTTAAAAAATTTTTTAACTTTTTTCGATTACAAGGTCCACTGCACCATCTCCTAATTTTGCGTCTACTTTAATCCTGTAAAAGGATTTTTTATCCCGTTCAGTCAATTCGAAGATTTTTATACGACTGTAATGTGATAATTTGATCACTCCAGCATCCCCTTAAGGAAAGATAATATAACTTGCCGTTTACTTCAATAACTTCAAAAACTTTTAATTAATTATGACACTTTATCTCGAGTGACAATGAAGTAAAAATTATTTAAAAATGAAACGATTGAACTTTGTTATAAAAAAACTGGATCGGCAACAAAAGGTGATTTGTAATGTAATTGCGAAGTTGCAACGTGAGTCATGCCTTTGCAGAGAGGAAAACGCATAAAGGGTATATTCATTCGGATGTTTTCGCAATAGTAATCCGATGCATCCCTTGATAGCGGTGCAAAGTTTCCGAGCATAGCCTTGGAATGTTGATTCATACTTTATGACAAAAATTCAACTTTTGTAAACATATACTTTGAAATTAATAATCATAATAACTGTTTTTGTGGTGTTATAAATGCAGTAGTCATTATATCACAAACTCGGTATAATTTTTCAATGTTTTTTACGTTAATAAAAGTTCGTTATTAAATTTTGCAGCGGAAAAAAGTGACATATTACGTGCATGCGCGCGCGCGCGCGCGTGTGTGTGTGTGTGTGTGTGTGAGAGAGAGAGAGAGAGAGAGAGAGAGAGAGAGAGAGAGAAGAGAACGAATGAATCGTCATTTTGCGTTCTGGGATAATATCCTCTCAAACGCAATAATCTTTCAAATTTATAATGTCGCGAACATAAAATAAGATCATCATTGTATAAAGAATATTTATACTTCTATACATATACAAAGATAGAAAGAAAATATTGAGAAATAATAAAATAATAGAGAGAAAACTAAAGAGAATATAAAAAAATAATACTAGTAAAATAAAATAAAATAATTCAAAGAAAGAATACAAACGAAGAAAATCTGGCTGATACTCCAATCACAGAGGGTTAACCGAAGAGAAGATTGAGAGAGAGAGAGAGAGAGAGAGAGAGAGAGAGAGAAATGTAACTTATGGAATTTCCAGAGCTATATCTCGTTGATAAGAACTTACTTTCCTAAGCCTGAGTGGTATTCCACCAGGATAAATATTAACTTAATTTTGTGGCCATTACGCTTCCTTCCGGTCGAATGTAAATGAGATGAATCAGTGCCTCTACCAGTCACAAATTTCGTAATTCCAGACGAGTCAACTTCCGCGAAGGTTGAAATTTTTATGAATGAACGTAAGTGGAGTGTGCCCGTACCCACGTGCGTGTGTCATGCGTGAACGGTTCCGTCCCCTCTCTCTGCATATTAATATATATGTTTGTGTATATTCTCTCTTTGCATACATGTATATATATATATAAATGTGTAGAATCCAACGTGTGCGCTATCCTACGCGACTGAATCAGCCAAGTGGTTTTCCATGTACCCGATCATGACTTGACTCAGCACTGCACCGTCGTCGCCGGTGTGCAGCGCGGTAGAAGTATCGCTGAAATTCAAGGTCTGCTTAGTGGATGCTGATCACCGATCGGCAGACATTGACAATGGGGATTGCCTTCAATTAATTGCGAGTGGATGAAGTACACCGAGATGATTGTCGCTAATGTATGATGTGCGCGCGCGTATGCATGTATGCGTGAACTTACACGCATGTATGCACGCTTTTGCAAGATACACGGAACTCTAAAGATATACAAAATATAAAGATGAGTGAGTATATGGATACGTGCGTCTTTACACTGGCAAATATTCAAATGTTGTTTATTGAATTTTGAATAAATTGTAGCGGCTTGTGGTAACTAAGCATAAGGAAAACACAATTATAGGTTTTGAGCACGGAAGGCACATGCACGCTATGATTATCCGGATGTTCCTTGTGTAACCGGAAATATACGTGCGGAAAGATGCACAATGCATTGGTTGAAACCTTGGTTACAATTATATTTTATGACCGCGCATCAGAATAGTCCGCTGACAAGTCCAAGAGTCCAGAATAGATGATCTCTTCACGACATGTATCATTACAAAGAACGAACCGCCTACATGCAAAGTTATTTGTCAAGTTTAATTTTATTTTGAAATTTTTTCTTCTCTTTTGAAGTAAGAAACAAATTGCAGAAATTTTTTTCGAAGCGGAGTAAAAGTGTCATATCTTTAAGGATAGTCTGCGATCGATTAGCAGGAATTCATTATTTTCTTTCATTCTTTTCTAGTTATATCATATCTATAATCTTTTTAAAAACCGATTATATATATCGTTTAATTACGTCACCGAATGCTGTAAGAATATTTTATCTATAATATCCTCGTTATTGTCTACGAATTATTAACATAACGAATTGGCATGATAGAGAAATTTTTTATCGTTATATGCATTTTTCGTATAGAAATCTCATGTTCACAAAACTTGTAATTCTTGTATGTCGTTGCTACCGTAATTATACAGTGGAACTCGTTAGGCACGAAATGTTTTATATCCGGGTTACCTTGAATCCGAGGAATTGTTCGAGGAATGACGTAGATATGCACGATAATATTCTTTTGAAAGCGTAGAATCTAATACGCCAAGGAGAGTAGCACGCTATTGATCTTGTAGATTTGGATACTGCCGGCCCTTACAAAAATCTAATTTAATACTGGCCAATTTAATTCTGGAAATTACTTATTAAGTATTAAAAACATTGAACAATAGTGTTTTTTAATATTCTAAATAAGTAATTAAAAATTATCGTCCAATATATTGTATATTAAATTTTTATAAGGATGTCAATATGTTTATCATTGAAAACAATTGCTACAATGACGTAATTGAATATGACTCTGACGAAAAAAAATGTTTACGAAAAAGTACAGAAAAACTACATAGATTGAGACAAGATCTTAGAAATTTTTAATTTTTCGTAGATATTCGTAGGGACGTTGAGTGAGTGGCGTTGTTTGAGGGCGGAGGATTTCTTGATTTTTCAAACAAACAATCCACTCCATTATGAATATCTATGAAGAACTAAGAATTTCTAAGATCTTGTGACAAGATCTTAAAATTTTTACAAAAAATACATAGATTGATGAAAATTTTTACGAAAAACTACATAGATTGAGACAAGATTCTTTCGTAAAAATTTTCATTAATCTATGTATTTTTTGTAAAAATTTTTCCGCCAGGGAAAGAAGAAATTTTCCACATCTTTTCTTCCGTATACCTACTAATTCTTTTGGAATAACGACTTGTCATACGTCATTTGTTGTACGTAAAGCACAATATTCGTTTCCATGACCTGAATTTTTAGTCGTTGAGATTTCGTGTTACTTGCACACGTATCGTGCAGACTAGTGTCTTCTGCAGCAGAGATTACAACAATGTTTAATCTCTCTAAATGGTATCTAATCTGACATATTAAAAGATACTGTTAAAGCTAACAAGTTCATGATCTTAGTAATATTTAATTTATTAGAATTTAATTTATTATTCCGTTATTTCTTTTATTTAAAATAAAATTAAAAAATTTACTTGATGCTTACGAAAATAGGTAAAGCTATATCATCTAGGTCAACCGTCGACTTGTACGATTAGTAGATAGCAGGATACTGCAAAGGCCAAGTGTTTTATGCTAATGAAAACTCGAGCAACTCTATCTCAACGAAACATAATGTCTCTTCCAAGTACCGGAATTAAAATCATGTTCATGATATCAATTGCACCAATTTAATTTGTTCACTTTCAACATTGTTCTTTGCAATATTATCAATAATATTACATGAAGATTATCGTTGCTTGGTTACTAATTTCATTTCACAGTTTCATTGGAAATACAACTTAATGTGCCTAAAGCTCATAGTATCCAATGTGTGTGTGAAATGCGTCTAAATTGTGTAAGTCGAGTTTGTGTACACGCGGTATTTTATCTTGTCATTTTATCTTGTTGTCAAAGATAACGACCTGTAGTAAAAATTTACTTTGTTTCTCAACAGCGAAATATGAATAACTTGTAATACACAAATTATGCACGACCCTAACTTTTGTAATGTTTGTCTCTCGTGATATATTTGTACATATGTTTTTTATTTCTCTAAATTGTTCAAATTATCCCTAATTTTTATGAGTTAGCTCTTATTATTCCATATAAGCTTGGAATAGTATAGATAAGATATCCATTCGTTGGCTATACGATCGATATCTAACCGTCTAAAGCAACAGCATAAGTCTGGTGGACAAAGAGATAATAAATTTAAAAGATTAACTTATTGTTAGCGTAGGCGTGGTTTTGTCTCTTTTGGCGTATGCGTGTAATTTTCACAATAGAGAATGAAGGCCCAATAATACTTTAAACACAATTGTTACTTATTTAACTTGTTCAGATCTTTGAATCGAAAATTTTACAATGACTTTCGCATTGCGCTTATTCAATAATAATCATAAAATAAATTCTACAAATATATGATTCTGGACAAAAAGCAGTCAATTTTTTCTTTAATTGCCAAATGCTGTCCAATTGTAAGATTTTCAAGTTTATTGATTATAAAATAAAAGGAAGAAGTGCATAAAAAAGTATCGAGTATCGCACCGACCTTGAAGAGGTCTTTGTCGACGCGAATACCATCGGTATTCCACGTCTTCTTCTCTCGTGCGAACGTTGTTTGAATATAAAAGCTGATTCTCTGACCATCCACCGCTGCTTTGTACAATATGCTTTTCCGTATGTAATAGTACACAGTAGCCTTTATACTCCATAAAAGTGGTGTAAGTTCGGAAAAAAAAAATTTAAGTAAGAAATTACTTTTAAAAATGTGTGATCGATTATATTATTTTTACAAAATTTTAAAAAATCACTCACATTTTTAGAATAAACGTGTTCATTAAATTGATGTGTTCATCATTAATGTTACAATAATATCGAATCAAATATAAATAATAATAATAATTGAAACGCATGACACTTATCACCTCGTGATTTTATCTATTTGCTATTTCATCACGCTGCATCGATAGAAAAGCAACTGTTTTGTGCGGTCGTAGAGTAATTTGACAAGTTTTTCATATTGTAGAGAATATATTATTCGCTATTCCTGTAAACTTTTATAAATAATTATTGACTGATCGAGCTTGCTTGATATAAGAGATTAGAATTGGTTAATGTCAGTGTCTGTCAAACTTACGCTTGAAAAAAGTTTAAAATTCGAATAATATATCTGTAGGTACACTGCAAAATTGGTAAATAATGAAGACGTGTGATTCATTAAAAAAGGTCTTAAGTATCGCTGATTCAACAGACACGGAAGTAAAATAGTTCAGCTCGCAAGTAACGCGTGATTGAAGTCTATACGTCATATGAGTCATCGCGGTGCAAATGACACGAATGCGAATTTTTCTTATTTTTTATCGATAAGCCAACGTTTCACGTTTCAACATCGCGTCAATGTCAATTGATGCTAATACGTAAAAAGACCGGTGCAGTTGTTAATTTTAGAATTACAAATTCTATTAAAAAAAAAAAAACGCTTGAAGAACTCGGAACAACGCGATACAGAGACGTACTCGACGTTCGTATGACATGTAGTGTCATCGATGGAACGTTTAAGAGATGACGGATGTTTAAATGAATTAAGATTAACAGTTAGGCATAATACAGTAGCGGGAACAATTTTTAGAGTAAACGCTAGTAGTATTACATAACACACATCGCACGTGTGGATTCCACGTGTCGAGTTACGTAAACTACACGGACGCGTTCGCGGAAATAGGAATAGCGGTTTTTCATCAAGAAATAATAAGACAGTCACTCTAACATATGATGATTGTATTAGCGCGTTATTTTACACAAACTATTAATTTGAAAATATCTTCAACATTTACATATATCTTGTTATTGTCTCTTAAATTTGACCGATGATTCTTCGCTCAATTGTTTTGATGATGTAAGTACTTTCCATTACTTTGCGATTTTTTATTTGTCAGTCTCTCGTTTCTTTCCAAGTTTATTGTCTAACGATTTCAACCGATTATTCAATTGTAAGGAGGTCCGAGTTTTATTATCTATGACATTGACTATTAGTAGCGCGTGTCCTATCGATATACCTATGTAAGTTTGTCGGACGCACGGCGTCGCTAATCATATGTCTTAACTTTTTGTCTTTCTCATCCACGTGTGCTCGACACTAATTGTTAATGTATCCGTCCGTGTTCGAGAACAAAATAACTTGTACAAGAGCTGTATCTTTGTTTCGTTCTTCGGTTCATGCGTTGAAAACTATCGTAACGCCGTGCACTGTTAAATCTATAGTGTCAAATTTAATCTAATTTAAATCACCACTGCTCCTCGATATATTGTTATTTTATACCAAAATAATGGTTAAATTTAACACTATATAATTTCAAATTGAATCATTACTTTAGTATATATAAAATAACGACATATGGAGTAGAAGCAGTGGCGACTTAAATTAGATTAAATTTATACAATATTATAGATTTAACAATGCATCGCCACCAGAAAATCACATAGTTTGGCTCACAAAAATATCGTTAGCTGCGTTTAGCAGAAAAAACAGCTTTACTACTGTTGTACAAGTCTTTAATATAATTGGTCTTGCCTTTAGTTCTTCACTGGATCTAAATATATAAACTAATCATATTAAAAAATCTTACAACAATTGCAAAGCAACTTTTTCTGCTGAATGCAATCCTTGTCGTATCAAGCTCGAACCTTTTGATTGCGATCGAAAATTCTGTGTCATTCGCTAGATTTATCGACAGAATATTTTGTGCAACGATAATTTTCTTGCAGAAGATGTAAACCAAAGATGCTACAACTTTAACTAAAATCGTAAATGAAATTTCTATATAAAACGAAAACTATCTTTTTACGATCCGGCTTAATCGGGAAGAAGGAATACTAAATAGATATCGCTGGTTTAAAAAAGAGCGTACCTACATAAAAGAGCAAACGATCACTAGATCGAGCAACGATGAGAATATCTATGATCCGATAGTTATTATTCTGATGACGGCAGGTCCGTGTTCAGACTGTAAATCCAACGACAAAGGCCAATATACGCGATCTTTGCATAAGTGTATTTCCGTGTTGAGGAACATACATTATTTACAATTTCCTAGTATAATTTAACAAGTGAGAAGAAAACGAAAGAAATATACGCGGGAACTGATGACTTGGCACTTTGCCGAGAGAGAACTGGAACATCAGGTTGACAGATAATCAGTGAAAAAATGAATTTTGCCGGTCTCATATTATCTTACGATCCTTGGAACGATAGAAGATATTGAAAAAGATAATACAAAGCTTTTGTTTCAGCTCAAGTTTCATTTACGATCAAAATAATTTTTGCAGACACACGTGACAATATATGTGTTTTTCTACTTAAACATACATACTCACCAACACAATTACTATTGGCATTACAAATGACTTTAACGCGATCGTGTAAACAAGTGTATCTTGCGACGACGTGTAGCGCAGTAATTAATATGAATTATTGAACATTGTTATCCTTTTACTTGTAAAAGTTGAGGTCTTGGCTTTCCTTATCGACTATACACGTGGATATATATACGTGGATATATATACGTGGACATATATATATATATATATCCACGTACATGAATACATTTAAAAACTTAATTAATTAAAAGCTCAAGTCGAATCTTTGCTTGAGTTTAAAATCACGCTCAAAAGTCAATCGTTGAATAAAAATAAGTGAAGGCAAAGTGCCACGTTTCTATTTGTTCTAGAACACCAGATAACAAAGAGTGATTTTTCAATCGTGCGTTTACCTAGTAGATAATTAAGTTTGTTATCCAAATATGGATATGTAATTTAAAGTCTTAAACTCGCTACATAATACGCATAAATGCATAGTCCTGGACTTTTGGCGTGACAATGGATAAACGAAATACTCGATTTGTCGCGTTGTAGCGTATCGAAAGGAGGACGTTGCAAAAATTATACATTACGAAAATAGTTTGAGGTACCCGATGTAATCGCATATCAGCATTCAAAGATAAACGTTTTTCCGTAGAATGTGTCACTTGCACTGTCCTAACGCGAATACATACGCGCAATGCGATCTTGCATTACTCATATGTGACGCATCATGGGGATTACACAGCTCTAAATCATTTTTTTTTTCTGAATATCGCGCGACAAACTTGCTGCGTGATGTACATAATCTGTGCCGATAAACAGCGAACCGATAGAGGAAACTAGATTTGATTTCCATATATATATGTATCTTTCCTTTTTCTGTATGAAAAAATAATTATTTTAATTTTCTTACCGCGGCAGTGGTATCGCTAACGACGAAATCAGTCGGTGCTGCTTCTGTATTCGCGTATAAAACGAGGAACGCAATCAGGTAGATGTTGGTTCTTCGCCATTGTAAAACGATTTCGGTCCACCTCGTCATATTTTCGACGACTGTTTTCGATTCAACTCGTGCTTTTGTTAAGCTGGATTTCCGCTAAGGAATTGATCACCGTGACTTTCTCGCTCGTAGACAGAGTCAGTATCCTCTTCCTTACACCCCTTAAAAAACACTGAATACACACGTTACACGTGCTTCTCGAAGACACCCCGAAAATCGCAACGTCGGACGATGTCAGATGATGATAGGTACTTTTGATTTCAATTAGCCTCTTGTTTAGATAAATTGTCGCATATACGAGCTATCGGACTCTCAACGTTACTTCTCGCGTTAATTCTACTACACGCGAAAGAAACGATCTCTCTACATTAACCGTTTCCACCGTAGTTCTCGATAGAGTACCACTTGGCAGGGTGGTGGTCTTTAACGTGGTTGCCACAACACTATCGATCTCGTAGTGTTTTCTTCGCCTGATGGTTCGCCCCGGGGTTCTTTCGCTGTTGCTCCGAACGTAACTCCTCGGCGTATTCACATGCACCTCGTTCGATTTTCAGTCCGACAAAGACCTCCCTCTTCCGTGATTTGCAGAGATGGTCCGTTTCGATGAACTCGAAATCGAGGAGCGAAGGATGACGAAGAAATAAAACGAGAGAAATAGAGATCAATAAAATTGAAACGAACAAGGATGGATCATGGACTGATGATCCACGTTAAAGGAGAGGAGAGCCGATGAAAAACGCGCGGGTACGCGGTGCTGCTCTATCCGGAGTCCACCGCTACTCTGACTCGTAATCAGTCTGCTACTGACTTTTATCGAGATCTCCCACCATAGCCGCGATGGCCACGGTCACCAATCGCGCATCACGACGCTTCTACACGTGCAGGTACATGTTGCAGCGCTGCCGCTTTTGCGTGCACGATAGTTAGTCAAATTGAGTGCAAAGGACAAAGTTTCAGGTTTTAATTTCCCTTGATAATATACCCTCTTACCGCGAAGGATTCACTCCCGTGAGAAATCATCCCTTATTCATCATATGACGTTCAAAACATCTTACAATCGCATTTTTTTCCATCTTTTGAAAATCAAGATAGATTCTGACTCGCATTAATCACGACGCGCTACCTTTGCCTGATGATCTATTTTTAGTCTATGTTCGATTAGATAATTATGATAAGTATAATTTTCTTAACGATGTTTGTGAAATAGTAAGATATATTAGTACATTAACGTTATTACTCTTTTCTCAATTATGAGAGGACACGGAATTCACGATTCACGTAAATAATGCAGTCGATATCTCTACGTAATATTCCGGTAGTTAATAATATATATAATATATATAAATATCTCTTTTCCATGGACGAAGGAAATTATATCTCAAGAGATTGTGTGGGTAATCATGTGACTCATTCGGATTTTAGACTTCTTTCCGTTCCCAAGAATTTCTTTAACGATGCCGACGACCGCAGACTCGATCCCAAGCCGGGATTGATGCATAAATTTCACATGTAGATAAACCCCCATGTGAGGTTAAGTAATTTTTCAATAGCATATCTGTTTAGATATTAACTTTGTCAGTTGCGATATTTACGATATTTTAAAATATTTATTGCATGCGCGAGAGAGAATTTTTTTGTGAATTAATACGTAGTAAGATTTTGCATCAAAATAATAGAAGCCGATAAAGGATGCCCATATATATTATATATTCGCCATAATTACATGTTCTTTTTTTTTAAATGCTCCATTTATCAATTGAATAGTCCATCTTTACACATCGTAACAGCAAAATGCTTTCCCTTTTAGTTAGGTCTGCACCGGTATTACAAAGGATATTTATGTATATTAACTGAAAAGACGCGAGTCTCGTGAAGACGAAACTTGAATGTAAATGGCTGAGTACATTGAACGAATGAGTAAGCATCAGACTTTTTTGGTACGCACTACTGCCGTTCTGCATTTCATCTCTCAATGAATAAAGAGTGATATAATTCTTTTTTTTTCCTCCTATTCTTTCTTCCGATTTAATTTATTTAGTTAAAACTTTCTGGTTTCTTCTTCCGGAATTTCATCTATAATCATCACCTCAAAATCTTTTACTAATTCCGCAAATTTTTCTTACGCGAACGAAAGACTTTTTGTTCTTTTCATTCTGCCCGAACGTGATTATCATGAAAATGCTTTTCGACGCGCAAACAAAACTCCGACAATTTTATTTGAATTTCATTTGGAAATAAAAAATATGCGCATGTTAGGAAAGCTCTAAAAAATTAATAAATGAGTAAAATTTCATTTTATCTTAGCAAAAAATAAAATATATGTCTTTATGTGCATGATATCTTTAATATCTTTCATTATGCACTAAAGGGTGATAACAATCCATAAAAAATTGAAAGACACATGAGTTTGGAATCTATAATGTACGTTTGCATCAATTCATTCGTTCGATCTAACCATTGACATATTTTAAACTCCCTGAATTCGACTTTAATAAAGTACTAAAGTTTCAACAGTCTGAAGAGGGATTCCATTCTGGGGGGAATCCGCGCGTTTATTTTCTTTGAAAGTGAACGAGTGAAAGAGAACGTTACAGGGTATTCGGGAAAGACCATAACAACGCTAAGGTAAATCTCTGAGACGAAAATTCTAATACCAAAATTTCAAGGCTTTAATTGTAAGCATTTAGATGTGATACAACGGAAAATTCAGCCTAAGCGAACCTTAGACGATATGATTCGCCAACTTTAAATGCTTATAATTAAAAAAATTATTATATCCTCGACATTTTGGTATTAGAATTTTCGTCTCAAAATGATCTCGGGAATTTACCCTTAAGCGTTGTTGGTCTTTACCGAACACTGTATATATGATTTTGTTATATGTATATGTATAAAAAATGAAAAGCATTTTTATGTATCCATGAGGTAGTTAATCTCTGCATAAAAGCACAGCAGTATATACCGCTTTTCAATAGAAAAGAAATGAGGCTGGGTCGACGAAGACATCAGCTCGAGACGATCGCATCTCAAAAATGGGCCGCGCCTAAAAATTATATTCTGCTCGCACCGGTGTGCTCATTCATTTCTCTCTCGATTTCTCGTTCTCTCTTTTGTCAAACGGTGTACACTGCGCTATAATCCTAATCGTTTATCGATCTAGCCGTTTCATTCAATCCTTTCGGTCGAAATTCATTCTTCTCGACTTGGATTCACATGATCAAGGTCATCGTCGCGCGTTGCATTCAAACCTATTCTATTTCTAATCACGAAAATTAGCAAAATGATTGCATCGAGTGTAATTAGAAACAGAACTATAGATATTTACATACATATATTAATTATAGATTCATTTTTTTGTTTCGTCAAGAATAACTCTTATCAGTTTATGATATTTTTTTCTATTTTCATAGATTAATTATTTATCTTATGGAGATTCAAGATTGATTCTTGATTGATTTTGTATTGATATTTCATAACCAATTTGTTGATTATTCACGATATTTTATCTTTATGTTTTGCAACTTTTATTATGACGTAACATTAATGAAAAGAGAAAACAAGATCAAAAATTAAGTTACTATTTTGCGTTACAGAAACCGATTGTGAGATAATGTCCACGTGATGTGTTTTTACACAAAATGTGTAAAAAACGATCCTATAATAAGATGTATGTGTAATGAGGTTTTTTATTTCTCCAAAGAACAGGAAGAGTATGTGGACAGATTATGTATACGAGAGCCACAGGCTGCGGAAATTAACCACTGTATACCACTGATGAATGCTACTCATTCGTTGTACGTTTATGAGTGATTCATCGTCGCGCGATTCTTCGTAGAGAAATAAATTCACTCGAAAGTGGCATCTACCGTAAAATCACTCAAGAAAATACTCCTCTTTTATAAAGATTTATTTAAACCATTTGAACTATCATTGAAAACCTTAAGTATACCAGACGTGCTCGCGTAATGAAAATTCTACGACTGTGATAATCGACTAATTCTGAGAAATGAATCATCTCTTTTGAATCACATTCAAAGTTTAAGTTGAACCGATAGAAAAAATAATGACGATAAGTAACAAATGATACGATTCCTCTGACAATTTTGTTATCTACCGTTCTATAGAGAACAGAATTGTAAGACGCCAGCAACAATTGTAAGATATTTAATTGAATATTTCCTGTTGAAAATTTTTAGTCCTTCCCACAGATCTCCAAATGACGTCATAGGTCTGTTTTCACAATATGTGGTTACCTAAAGATTAAAGGTTACCAAGAAATTCATGAATGAAATTCATTCATAAATTTCTTAGTAACTTTTAATCTTTAGATAACCATTGATTGTGAAAACAGGGCTTAAAGATGTCTAGAGGATGTCTCCTATATCCTCTGAATGTTTTGAGGACGTTTCCGGGATAAAGTGCGTCTCTCGGATAAAGTGTTCTGTGTGGGATGTTTTGTCGAGATAGTCGGAAATACCGATACTTGATGCATGATAATATTAAAGGGTGCTTTCATTGTGACCGATGAGTCAGCGATCGTTCCCGGTAACTGATCTACAAAGAAGATTTTTTCCTAAGAATCCTTTAATCCTGTAAATATCCTACAAATATCTTATAAACTAACAAAAGAGAAACGTGTCAAACGTGATGATGTCAAATTTTATCAATAAAAAGTTTTGTAAACCTCGATGGGGATCAAGTCGTCATGATTTAATAGTTCCCGAGATCGCGTCTCTATCTCTACACTGATCGTAACCAGTTATGCAAATTAAAGCAAAAATCTTACTGTACCTATACATGAACCTGGGAAATTTTTTGTAACTAAAATTCACCTTTCTCAGAATTTCTCGTGGTCGCTCTTGTTATCGTTTCATCTTCTCGCATGTATCGCGCTCGATTGTCCTTATTACATCGTTAACATGCAGACTTGCTCTCGAATTGTTGTGATAATAAATCATTCCTATGCGAAAATCGTTCGCGCGGCGTAATTATGCACATGCCTCGTATTTCCCTTTCCCGTTTGATTCACATGCGGCACGATGGACCATCCGAAAGGTCACTGCGCATCGATGCCAGATAAATCTACAACGCAGATCTCTGTGGATGTTTTTGCACCATCTTCCTATTAAACACTATTAATTACCACCATTTACGTCCGCGACTCTGTATATCCGCGTAATCTCCAATCGTGAAATGAATCATTCAAACTTGGCGAATCAAATGTGAAATTTCTCGAGATGGAAACTTATTTAATTAATTGGTAACACACGCTTCTAATTTTCGTGGAATACATAATTCCAAGGAGTTTAAAACTCAGAACTGAAATAACGGATTTCTGTGTCACTTTTTTCACACGGAGAGCAACAAACAAATTTCTATAGTCATAATTAGACTTGAATCTGAAACACAAGCGTCACTCTCTCTTGCCCGAATCAATGCGGATGCACGCTGCTTGGAAAGATATGATAAGTAGTATTTCGAAAAAGCGTGGCTAATCGCATTTCCCTATGTACGTATTTTCGTGTGCATGCGATCGTTTCTTATTGTCACGAAAGCACGTGCCTGCGGTTACTTGCAGATTCATACATAATCGAGTGACGGAAGTTAAAACGACTTTGTATACTTGCAACTCAATGTTCACTACTATATATATTCAATGTAACGATCTGCTATGAATTTCATAGAAGAGGACAAGCTATTCCCTTTAGAAATCGGAAGAATAATCTAAGCGTTAGCAGTCACCTTGTTGCATGGAGAAAAATATAAAG